TCCTAAAATAAGATTACATTAATTTTAATTAGGTTTTGCATTTCAAAGCATTCTGTTCACATACAGTGTGATGTTCTGCAGCTTATGTCAATACTAGTAGATGAAAGGAAAAGCCAAAGGTTGTGTGTTAATTATTAATTACCTGTTGAAAATAAATGTAACAGGCTTTGTTTGTATTTGCTCATATTACCTGAGCATGAATGTGGAAAATGAACCAACCCTTCAATGAACACCATCCACAATGAACCCACAAATACCACAACACTAGCAGGGATTTCTGTTGCAATCTCTTCAAAAGGCTACTATGCCTTTTGAATCATGTAGTAGATAATGTAGTATTACAATCATGTAGTAGTTAATGTCTTAAATAATGATGATGATGATGTTTGTTTATACCCCATTCTTTCTCTCCACAGGAGACTCAAAGCAGATAGATGGGTTGGTTCATTTTCCACATTCATGCCTACATAAGGACAACCAGCTAGCCTGCTATTTTGTAATTATGTATACGCAAAACACAAACTGATATACAAGTCCTTGTACATTTGTTCCTGTTGGACTATAGTTTTTCTGACACAGTGACAAGGCTCTGGAGCTATCAACTACTGAACAAAAAAAAATATCTAAAAATTATTTTACTGAACTGTGTGGATGAAGAGCAGACCTGTTTGGATTAAGAAGCTATCCTGAAACTCTTTTAAAAATGCCAAAAAGTCAGTACATTTCTTTGATGCAGCATCAATGATAAAGGGCAGTTCCAAAATCACATTTAATTTTATATAGAGATAATAAATAAGCTAGTACGGTGGTGACCAATGGTTAGTATGAATATATTGTTCTGAGAGCCTCAGAACAATTGGAGTCACTGGAGAAAAGAAGAACAATAAGAAAAGTGAAAAAGTAAACAGAAAACCATAGATAAGGATGAGCAAGGCCATATGTACCCTTGCCTGGCTGATTTCACATACCTCAACAGCACCAGACCTTCAACCTTTTCCTGTCAGAAAAAAAGATTGGCATGCTTCTCATAGGAATGATGATTCACCTTTGGAATGAGATAGTACCCACTGCATTTTTATCATTTAAAAAACCACACACGTTTTTCAAAACACAAATTAAACTTTCAGCCACTTGGGGCTTGACTTTTGCCCTCCCAGCTTTTGGCATTTTTGCACTCTTTGTACCCATGAAGTGTCCCAGAGACAAAATTGGCCCAAGAGGTTGCCCATCTCTGCTGTAGTTCAAATAATAATTAATACAAGAATACAGGAAGCCCTCAAAGAAGAAAAAAAGGAGGTGAAAAATAGAACAGAAGCTTCCTAAAAGTTGTCAGAGAGCCATTTTTACTGACTTCAAAAATGTCAGATCTTCTTCTATCACAACTAAGAATTTAGTAGGTATTTTGGAGGGCTCAGGCCAGGGCATCATTTTACCTCTCATTTTATATAACAGAAGCTAACACAATTGCTGAGAAAAACTGTATTCCAATTCCCTGCAAATGTATGAGGCATGGAGACTACAAAAAAAGAAAAAAGAAAAGAAACATTTTTACACAATTCAGCAGTTTGCCACATTCTGAAAAATGCATTTATCAATTTCGCATTTATACATGCACTGATACTAATTACTTTTAATTTCTCCTAACTGCCTATTCTCTGTAATAAATATATGACATATTAGTTATCTACAGTTATACATGAACTCCATCAATGGATCTAAACCAGTGGTTCCCAACCTGTGGTCCGTGAATTGCTAGTGGTCCCTTCGAATGAAAATATGATCCGCAACTTCACAATTACTACACCGTTGCCTCAAAACCATGCGGCAATGGGAGCAACTGGTTTTGCCAAACCCTCTTAATAGTGCTGAAGTAACGGGGATGTTGGGAGGGGAGAGGCTGACTATCCCTGAAGGATTACTACTACCACATCCGCTCTAGATTATTAAATATAGTTTCCTGTGGGCAAGGAGATGGCGACTACTGGATGGCATATATTCTCTATCAGAAAGTAGAGCTGATGTGATCTATCCAATGCAATTTTCTGAATCAGCACCCCAAATAACCAAACCGAATCTGCAGCTGACCCAAAACTGATTCACAACTCTTTTGGTACTAATGCTGGATAGTGGTCCCTGGTCAAAAATAGGTTGGGAACCACTGATCTAAACAAACTTGAGACTACCAATGCCTCTTAAAGAAAGAATAACTTAAGCTTAAACTGTCACTGCAAAATCCCATAAGCATAGTACTTAAGTCATCGTCTAAGTTTTTTTAAAAAAAAATCTGTCTACATAAGTAAAGAATTGCAGCAGATATACATTCAGAGCAATTACATGACTACATGGCAGGAGGTGGGATTATTTCAACCTCATCTGGATGTTTTAAGAATACTTGATTGCAAAAGAACCTTTATAACAAAGTGGCCTTGCTGTTATAATAAGCTCTGCAAAGATACTTTAAAAACTCACAAACATGCACTTATCCAAACAATAGAAACAGATGTAATATCTGTAGATGTACATGTTTTCGGCATTGGAAAGGAAATATTTTTACACTCTTCATTTTAAGAAATGTTTATATTCTTACTGTACAGGTAAAACAAAATAAGGCACAGCTGCCAGAAAAAAGTAATCTTGCAAACAAACAAAAACCCACATTCTAGTAAATGAATTATTTGTTTTTCTTTACAGTTTACACAATCAGTTTACCTAGGTAATATAGCACCCAGAACTCAGGCTATGGGGTAGCAGCCTTTTCTTCATCTATCTTAGTTACAGCAATAATGACCCATGATATCAGAGCATTCTCAGTCACTGGAAGCCAAATTCCTTCATACACACAAACCCAATATCCACAATGGATTGATTCCAAGGTCTACCATGGGCACCTGAAACCATGGATAAGAGCACCTATATTTTGACATGGGGCAGAACCATGCCATAGAATCACTCTGGAGGATGTACTGGGCCCCACAAATGCTAGCGTGCAGGAGCGAAGAGAAGAAGAGAATTTTGAGCATGAGGAAGTGAAGCTGTGGATATTGAATTGTAGATAAGGAAACTGTATTGCATAATTTAGTAGTTTCATATGTTAGATGAGCTATGGTGAGAAATGTGATTTACTAAATCTAAAAAAGTCAAAGTCCACAATATTTTCCCTGATTGCCACTTCCTATATATTGGTCTAATAGCATGTGCAAAATTTTAACCTTGGAAATTCTGGACTTGCGTCTCAAGTTGGATTTCTGAAGGTTTGACTAATGTCTTATCTACAGAGACACAAATCCTTTTCAGTTGAAACAATACAAATAAGGTAGTAAACAAAATCCAAAATGAATCAAATAGAAAACAAAAGTAGAATTTTGTAAATATAATTTTCTTATATTTCATCACATCTCATGAGAAGCTTAGCGTATCTCAGACATATTAGCTTAACATATACTTGCATTTAGCCATGTCCACAAAGTAATCTATACAAGAGAGACAGTGTATTGCAAGAACTTAAAACGTAGCTTTCTTTTCTCTTATTCCCAAAACCAAAATTATGCAGCTATAGGTAGGGAGAAACAAATGGAGTCCCTTTCGCTTAAAATAAGGCCTAGTAGAACCAAAGAAGGAAAGGAAAGACATGGACATCAGCTTGGATGTTTTCCTTCTTCTAAGCTATTAAGCATCATGAGGAGACAGGAAAGCCTAGAGAAGACAATTATGCTGGGGAAAGTGGAAGGCAAAAGGAAGAGGGGCCGACCAAGGGCAAGATGGATGGATGGCATCCTTGAAGTGACTGGACTGACCTTGAGGGAGCTGGGGGTGGTAACGGCCGACAGGGAGCTCTGGCGTGGGCTGGTCCATGAGGTCACGAAGAGTCGGAGACGACTGAACGAATGAACAACAACAACAACAAAGCTATTAAGCTTTTCTGTTGGATGGAGAACTCCTATTTTTCTTCCGATTTTCAGAAAACTATAAAATATGTGAATCCCACAATAGATTCATTTTGATAAACCATAGTATGATAATCACAAGGAAACTGGATGAATACATGCTAGAAGAGCATCTAGAAGGTCATCTCACTCAAATACTTATTCAAATGATAATAGTACAACAGGAATCTTTACAACTGAATATACACAAAACTATGTAACTGCTTCCAAGTAAGAAAAAAAAATCTTATTGTACACTTCAATTCTTTTATGAATATTCACTCCAATACCCCAATCCTTCTTTGTTCTTTCCACCCTAGCAAGAGAAAGGATGCATATAAGTTGGGGGTTTAAAAGCAATATGCCAACACATATTTAGGATTATAGTGCTCAAGCTTCTCTAGCAGAAATTCATCTTGACGGTCACCAGTAAATGGTTTATGTGCATTTTCCCACCTTAAAAATGCTCAAGTTCCATTAATGCTATTAGAAAATGTTGGGAAATCTTGGAAGAGACAATTATGACTCAGAAAAAGCATGAAAAAGATGGAAAATTGAAAAAAATTGTATATATTCGTCTTACTGAGGTTCTTACTATTGCTTCTCGCTACACACAACTAAGGATGTATACATCCAACAAGTTTATCTCCTAGCTAAGCAAGAGAAATTTGGCATACATGTATATTAGAGCCCTTTCCCTCCTCCAAGCTGGGAAAACGCTCAAAATATCCATGTGCAACTTCAAAAAAGAAAAGTTGAAGGCAGTTCATTTAAAAGATACATGTAGGGGAAATAGTATATCATTAGAATATAATTATAACTGATTTGACAAATATAAACATAAAACTAACTCTTAGCCATATTTTAAGTGTTACATTTAATTTATAGTTTAAGTTTTCTTTATAAAATTTACCTATCTGTCCTGTTTTCTGTTATATAGAAAAATGGCAAAAAAGCAAAAGTGTTAAAAAAATGTATGACAAGTAGCTTGTACCTGCAATACTCTGTTTCCTCTGCATAAAATAAAATGAAAGAAACCCAGAACACCTATCATAGTAACTCTAATGTTACAGTTACCTCTCTCCGTCGAGAAGCCCAGCAGGTTTGTTTGATTTTCCAGACCACAGCAGCCACCAACAGCAATGACAAGAAACAACTGCAATTGTAAAGCATGAAAAATGAATTAGAAACCAGAGCGTATATTACACAACCCTTTCTGAAAAGTATTGACATTTGATGGCATGGAGACGATAATGCTGGAGGAAATATATCGAGAAAAAAATAACATCAAAAATGTCACACACCAAATTCTGTATCTCTTTTGTCCTATAACACATGCCAACTTTCCAATATGTATGCAGTATAGAGAAGCTGCAGATTTTCTAAGATTTGATGTTCAAGAACATAGAAAAATCAGAGTTCCTTTGTTTAAAGGTTTTTCCATACTGCTTATTGACCACAACAAACATTTCAAGCAATATAAATATAATAACAACTAGAAACAACTTTTAAGTGAACACAAGTTCAGGAAGAGTAGTTTCTACAATACAATGCTGATAAAAAAATGAACCACCTCATTGTTTCCCCATGAAATGTCAAGTCAATACTCTTGGATGTTTTATTTATTTATGATGCTTTATACACAACCTTAGATGACATTTATTCCAGGAAGTTTACAACATAAATTAAAGCAAAACAAAATATACAATGAAATAGTTAAAATCAATCATAAAGGGAATACACCTTTTACTTTCTTAAAATAGGTAGCATTAAAATAATAAAAAATAACTCAACTCAAGACATAAAAGATGACACAATATCTTTGTCACCCTTATCAGCCTAGTTTCCTTACAGAAGGAGTTCCACAAAAGAAAAAGAAAAAAGGAAAATAGTCTCCCATATTATATAGAATGGTAGTGGTTCTCTGAAGAAGATCTCAATGAGATGGTATTAGTGTCTGGGGCAGATGATATAGAAAACATATATTTTGCTTAGGACCCAAGCCAGAAAGGACTTGAAAACCTCTAGAAACCTATGTAGAGAAGATTGTGCTAACCAGTCCGTTGAGCTGCCAGAGAATAGTTAATAGTAGGTAATTTGCATTTTCCAAGAACAGTCAGTGCACATATGCAGGTATAATCAGAAATATGACAAGATCAGAAGTATTTCAAATTAGCAAGCTTAATATTTTCAATAAGACAGTGTTCACAGAACTTGAGAGTCACTTATTACATGTAATGATGTTACCAGTAACATGTTATATTTGGATATAATAATGCCACAAGAATATTTTTGTAAAAATAACATTTCATAACTCTAGTTTTCTGGGGATATTGGAATTAAAATATATATTTATGTGTTCAAAAATATTTTGGGTGATTATACGCCATTTCTGGCATCTTTGTATTTTTTAGTAGATTTTTGTGCTCCTTCCTCCAGCTCTCAAAATAAAGCTACAAGAATTCTGCATAGATTACTTAGTTGTATGTGTAACCCCATCATCTATTTTACTAGGCATGAGCCACACTGATAGGAGATCAGTTCTGGCACAGTCAGGGCATGGGTGGATGACATTTCCACTTTTACCTGGTAACAAGTAAGGGTGTTGCATGGAAGTGAAATGAGGATTCTGCTTCTCAAATGTCGAAAGAATTGAGTTGTTTTTCTTGATGTGGCTGGTGCTCAGTAAAATATAATAATAATAATAATAATAATAATAATAATAATAATAATAATACTTTTTAATAGACCACCCTCTCTTCCTGAGGGGAGTCAGGGTGGTTTACACACACACACACAAAGGCAAATGTTCAATGGCCTATGCGAATTCAAACATCTTTAAAATAATACAAAATAAACACAATAAACTTATAACAAAAGAAAAAATAACATCAAAAATAGTACAAAATATGAATAAATTAATATAATTATACTAATAACATAATTAACAATTAAGACATAGACCCTGACAAAATGATTAAAATACATAAAATAGCTGTCATGATTGCTCTTTCTCATGTATGATAGCAGCAGTGGAATGCAAATAAATCAGCCAGCATTTTGATGGAATTAAAAGTGTTTTACTCCTCCTCCTCTTCATATGCTAAAGTGCATAGATGTGTTTTCAAGAGTTTTTTTTAAGAAGAGGAGGATGAGTGCCATTTTTATTTCTTTAGGAAGGGAGTTCCAGAGATGGGGAGCGATCACGGAGAAGGCCCCCCCTCTCATTCCGACCAGCCATGCTTCAGATGGGGTAGGACCGAGAGCAGGGCCTCCTCCATTGACTGCAGTGCACAAGATGGCCTGTAAAGGGGGATGCGATTAGACAAATAGTCTTGACTCAAACCATTTAGGGCTTTATAGGTAACAACCAGCACTTTGTATTTAGCCCGGAAGCGGACCGGCAACCAGTGGAGCTGCCACAGCATGAGTCATCCTCTCACAATACAGCACTCCAGTTAGAAAACTGGCTGCCGATCTCTGCATCAGTTGCAGCTTAGAACTATCTTCAAATGCAGCCCCGTATAAAGAGCATTGCAGTAGTCCAAATAGAATGTGACTAAGGAATGGATTACCATGACCAAGTCAGATATCTCAAGGTACGGGCGCAGCAGGCAGACAAGCTTTAACTGTGCGAAGGCACTCCTGGCCACCACTAACACCAGGGGTTTTAAGGTCAACAATGAATTCAGGAACACCCCTAAACTGCGAACCTGTGTCTTCAGGGGGAATGGGACCCCATGCAACACAGGCTGTAATTCCACACCCTGATCCACCTTATGACTGACCAGGAGTACCTCTGTCTTTTCTGGATTTGATTTCAGCTTGTTGGCCCTCATCCAGTCCATTACTGATTATAGGCACCAGTTCAGGACCAGAACAGCATCCTTGGTTTTTGGTATATATTTGGGGGATCATAAATATGAATTAGTTGTTGTTAACTGCCATCAAATCAACTTCTACCTATGAGAGAGACCTCAGTTACGAATGCATAATTCCTATTTATGCCTCCATAAGAGTGATACTGAATTCCAGCCCATATTAATAATATGTTAATAGTGTATTACTTTTTTTAAAAAGTGGTTCTTGCTAGTACATATTTTTAAAAAGAATGTGCTAACATCTGAAACTGCTAGAAATTCAAAACTATCAAATGCTCTGAGTTTCTCTGTATTTTATTGAACTCTTATCATCAATTCTGTACTAAGCTCCAGTTTCAGTAAACACATGTTATCATGCTTTTGGCTCAAATAATTGTACCTTTGTCCCTTGTATATCTGCTGATCCCATTACCTGTTTGACAGCATCTGTCAAATGTCTATTGTGGTTGTTTAGCTTCAGAAATCACTACTGGCTGTCTGCCAGTTCACTTAAAAGTTTCCAAACCCACAAAATGTTAAAACTGCAGCAGCCATAGAAATAGTGACTTTGGAACTGTAGGCATCTAAAATTAAAGCATCCCCTGTTCAGGAACTGTTCCCCATGTTTCAGTGGAGACAATGTGAAGTAAGAGCTCAAAGGGCCAAAGGGACTTTGCTTTTTGATTAGCATGGTCAATGATGAACTTTTTCAAGCTTCCCATTTTCCACTGAAAGTAAATGCAATGCTCACTGTAGCTGAGAATTGAAGAAAAATTCCCCAGAAACAATATATTTTTATAAATGATAATTTTATAAATGCAAAGTGGAAGACTTGGCCTTGAATGCCCACCATGCACTATCATAGGGATCCATGAGTCTGAAAATGAGATTTCCCCTCACCCTTAGCCCACATGGGAGTGGGAGATCAATTGAACTGAGTTCAGTTAAACTGATGTTATAAGTGGGGGAATGGTTGTATTTAGGGGTTGCTCTACCCCTTCTCTCCCTCTGATCTATGTAGGTTCCTCCTCTTGCCTGCTTTTCATGCTATAAATATACTGGACTAAGTAAAATCTTACCCTCACTTGTATTGTCATGGGGACTTCACAATAGCCTAATGGTGGTGCCTTAAATAGTTCCTCATTGGCAGGTTTTGTGGAGGGATGAGTTCAATGAGCACCTCTGCCCCATCCCCTTTTGGTGATGAATAGGAAGCTGGAATTGCCCTTGGGAATCAAGCAATAAGGGGTGGGGAAAGTTACTGTCCTTGGGACTTCGCCAGCATCAAAGATCCATGCAGCTTAAGGATCAACACACTGACCACCCTTCCAGTTTAGTTGCTTATCTGGGAGCAATCAGCTTTCCTTTAAGGCAGTGTTTCTCAACCTGGTGGAGTCATGAGGGGGGTTTCAGACGGGTCACCAAAGACCATCAGAAAATGTATATTTCTGATGGTCTTGGGAATCCCTTTGGCAGAAAAGCTGAAGATCTCTCCGCCTGTCCTTTTCCTTTTTTGGAAACAGATGGCAAATCCTCCTATCCCCTCTTCTTCTGAGTTCATCAGGATTCCCAATTGTCTGTCAAAGAATGTTGCACTATTGGCAGATCTATTAGCAATTAGAAAGCCACAGATATTGTGGTTTTATGGCATGGAGATATCATTTTCTGTTTTTGTAATAGCCTTGGGAGGTAGGGAAGCAGAGGAAATTAGAAATCTTTATCAAAAACTGTTTTTTTTTAATTTTTATTTTAGTATCTAAGCTGCTCAGGACTGCAGCAATCGCTATGTATTTCCATGGGTCCATGTAGGTAAATATCAAATGGTAGAATTAAGTCTGCATTAATAGAAAAGAAATAGACAAGATTACTACATTGCGAGGTTTCCTGTGGTTTTTATGCTTTTGAATTCCGATGGCTGCAGAAATTCAGCAGTTTCTGATGGTCGACATATTAATTTCCTTGATGGCTTGGGTTGGTAAATCAAGCAGTAAGAGCTTCTTCAGTATGTGAAATGCTGCAAACAGCATTTAAAAGAAAATTGTTCTGCTATACTTCTGTAGAGAACAGCACTTCAACAAAACTAGTTTTCATTATATTTGAATTACTGAAAGTGAGTTGCAAAGAGCAGGAAGACAAATTTGGGGTGTGTCAAAATCACTGCGAGTTCAACATTTATCCACATCAATGTGGTTTGTATTTTGGGAACAGGACGCTTAGGAAAAGGGTTGTTTTTCATCCATCTTTGTAAATTAATCTGCAACTTTTAATATGTTGTGCTCGAATAGTATTGTGAATA